GTGCAGGTTCGAGGAGTTCCTGCAGAAGAAGTGGTCTGCAGAGAAGCGTTTTGGTCTGGAGGGATGTGAGTCTCTGATCCCTGCTCTGAAAACCATCATTGATAAATCGTCTGAAAATGGAGTGGAGAACGTAATCATGGGAATGCCTCACAGGTAACACACACACACACACACACACACACACACACGTCCTCATTGTCTGTTGACACCATGTCTCTGTGTCTCAGGGGGCGTCTGAATGTTTTGGCCAACGTGATCCGTAAAGAGCTGGAACAGATTTTCTGTCAGTTTGACTCTAAACTGGAAGCAGCTGATGAGGTAAATCGTCTGTCGTTGTTGTCGTGGTCCTCGTCGTCGCTCCCTCGGGTTGAACCGTATCCACTTTACTTTTCATCGTCAGGGCTCTGGAGACGTAAAGTATCACTTGGGCATGTACCACCGGCGCATCAACCGTGTGACCGACAGGAACATCACTCTGTCTTTGATGGCTAACCCCTCTCATCTGGAGGCTGTCGACCCCGTCGTCCAGGGCAAGACCAAGGCTGAGCAGTTCTACTGTGGAGACAACGACGGGAACAGGGTGAGACGCAGCGAAGCAGCTATCTGGGAGCATGGTGTCCACCGAGGGACAAATAAGACAAGATTTTATTTTCCTGTGTATACAGGTGATGTCCATCCTGCTCCACGGAGACGCAGCATTTGCCGGTCAGGGTATCGTCTATGAGACCTTCCATCTGTCCGACCTGCCGTCCTACACCACGCACGGCACGGTGCACGTTGTTGCCAACAACCAGGTACGATCTGAGAGTGAAGACGCTCAGGTGAACGTCTAAGTGACGCAGCCGTAACCTTTTCTGTTGTCGTCACGCCTGCAGATCGGTTTCACCACAGATCCTCGCATGGCTCGGTCTTCTCCGTACCCGACTGACGTGGCCCGAGTCGTGAACGCTCCCATCTTCCACGTAAACGCCGACGACCCGGAGGCCGTCATCTACGTCTGCAAGGTGGCCGCCGAGTGGAGAGCCACCTTCCACAAGGACGTGGTGGTCGACCTGGTCAGTGCACATGCTGTTCTGTCTGTGAGTAGAAGGCGTGAGCACCGGTGTGAGACCACCCTCACTTGTGTGTGTGTGTGTGTTTGCAGGTTTCTTACCGTCGGATGGGTCACAACGAGATGGACGAGCCGATGTTCACTCAGCCGCTGATGTACAAACAGATCAAGAAGCAGAAACCTGTTCTGCAGAAATACGCTGAGAAGCTGATCGCAGAGGGAGCGGTGAGCCGCCAGGAGTACGAGGTAACTCCGCTTCCTGCAGAGTTTCTTTAGATCAACTCACAGCTGTTGGACGTCACAGTGTCCTCACTTTGTCTCTAGGAGGAAATCGCCAAGTACGATAAGATCTGTGAAGAAGCGTACGCTCGCTCCAAAGACGAGAAAATCCTCCACATCAAACACTGGCTGGACTCACCATGGCCCGGTGAGTCTTCACTGACTGCATGTAGAGACCATCAGGGACAAAGATCTGTGCTCTCAGGTCTCTACTGGTCTCAGATGTGGATGAGGATCTGGTCTTGATCAAACCGTTGACATCAGGTTGTTTGTTCCTGGTTCTCTGTGAGGTCGTTGATGTCCCGCTCTCTTTGTCTCCAGGTTTTTTCACTCTGGACGGACAACCCAAGTCTTTGACCTGCCCGTCCACTGGACTGACCGAAGAGAACCTGAACCACATTGGACAGATGGCGTCATCCGTCCCCGTCGAGGACTTCACCATCCACGGAGGTTGGACACGTTGGATCAGTGACACTTACATTTACAGTCGACATAACGGAGTGGAACGCCGCATTGTGACGTTTTGTTGTTTCAGGTCTGAGTCGTATCCTGAAGAGTCGAGGTCAGATGGTTCAGAACCGGACGGTGGACTGGGCTCTGGGAGAGTACATGGCGTTCGGATCGCTGCTGCAGGAGGGAATCCACATCAGGCTGTCGGGTCAGGACGTAGAGCGAGGGACGTTCAGGTAAACGGGTCGAAGCCAACGAGAACTTAACCACCTGTAAGTGGAGGTAGAGTCGTTCTGACGCGGTGTGTCTCCTTTCAGCCACCGTCATCACGTCCTTCACGACCAGAACGTGGACAAGAGGATCTGTATTCCCATGAACCACCTCTCTCCTGACCAGGCGCCGTACACGGTCTGCAACAGCTCGCTGTCAGAGTACGGAGTCCTGGGTCAGTCCTTTGTTCTGCACATCGTCTTGTTCCGCGTTGATTCATCATGTCGTCGTTTTGTTCGCTTCCTCTCCGATGACTCATCGTGGCACTTTGTGTGTGTGTGTAGGTTTCGAGTTGGGTTTTGCGATGGCGAGTCCGAACGCTCTGATCCTGTGGGAGGCTCAGTTCGGAGATTTCCATAACACGGCTCAGTGCATCATCGACCAGTTCATCTGTCCCGGTCAGGCCAAGTGGGTGAGACAGAACGGCATCGTGCTGCTGCTGCCGCACGGCATGGAGGGCATGGTGAGACACACACACACCCACACACCCACACACACACACCCACACACCCACACACCCACACACCATTTTGGATTGTTAAGTGTGTGTTTATGTTTTTTTCAGGGTCCAGAACATTCTTCAGCTCGTCCAGAGAGATTCCTCCAGATGTGCAACGATGACCCAGATGTCCTGCCCGTGAGACACACACACACACACACACACACACACACACACACACACACACACACAGCTTCGACTCGGATTCTGTTGAGGTTTCAAATTAACTCTCTCTCTCTCTCTCTCTCTCTCTCTCAGAACCTGACGGATGACATTGCCGTGCGTCAGCTGTACGACTGTAACTGGATCGTGGTCAACTGTTCGTCTCCTGGAAACTACTTCCACGTCCTCAGACGACAGATCCTGCTGCCGTTCAGGAAGCCGGTGAGACACAAGTCGCATCAGACACGGAACTTCACCACTTTTCATTTTCTCACCTTGTGTTGTTTAAAGACTTTTATTTTGTAAATAATCAGCTTCCTGTTTGTCTCAGCTGATCGTCTTCACTCCCAAGTCTCTGCTGCGCCACCCAGAGGCCAGATCCAGCTTTGACGAGATGCTGCCCGGTATCTGCAACGTTTACGTTCTTTACTTCTTCACGTTTTCAGACTAGAAGCTCTGTGTGACCTTCGTCTCCTCCTCTTCCTCAGGAACTCACTTCCAGAGGTTGATCCCAGAGGCCGGCTCAGCGTCCGAGCGTCCAGAGGAGGTGAAGAGGTTGATCTTCTGCACGGGGAAGGTTTACTACGAGCTGACCAAAGAGAGGAAGAACAGAGGGATGGAGGGAAACGTGGCCATCGCACGTATAGAGCAGGTACACACACACAC